CCTTGTTTCACTCCTTCCGCCCTCCTTCCAATAATCATACATTATATCAAAGGAAGAATCTCCTTATAATTGGTTTCATGAGGGAACCATCATAAAATTACCAAAGAAACGAGGATAGTCATCTGCACTGGCAGTCATATTTGTGTTCGATGTGTGCTGATATGAATATAAAGAAGAGAATAATGAATAATTTGTGGGTGAGGTGTTTGTGTAACAGAACTGTAGTCAGTGGATGGGGCAGTTCCATTGTGGCATGATGTCTGAGAATAGTCTTTCAGAATCCTTATTCTCACGTGTGTCACAGGACATTGTCTTATGATAGATCTGTGAGGAAATTTAATGTGGACGTTATGTGGAGCGGTGGAAGGAAGGGAGCTGCTGTACTGCAGTTCCTGCTGGTAGTCAGCAACTGGCTGACCCTTGTCCAGGCTGTCATCGAGTCTGTCCAAGTCACTCCCAGTAACACTTCTGGCTTCTTGATAGGAGAACTGTCTTTTCTACAGTTCCTGGTGGCTTGCGCTTTATTTCTCCAGTTAGTAGCAATCTACGCTAATGGTGGCCTGCCCATCGAAATCGATCTGGACTTCGCCAACAGAGGGGGAAACCCTAACACCGCCAGAGATCGCAGAGCCGACACCAGAGTGAGTTACACTTCTTAATGACAGAGTCAGAAAATATGATTGCCGAGGAAGTCGTAGGACGATAATTAAATTACAATATATAAATACAATTTGTGATAATAGAGAGTGCAAAGTGCCATGAGAGACGGATAGATAATTTGAAGACAAGAATACGGATTCATCACATGCATTATAAATTACACCCTAGTGTACATATATACAATATTCATACTAAAATTTTAGAAAGGATGAAGGGAGGTTAAAGATATTAATATGATTCCAAAAATAATAATGCAAAGAAATGTGTAGAGTTACAGAGGAATGATATACATTTGTAAGAAAGATAAGATGACATATATTTAGTATTTATGTAAATCACTTTACAATTACATTTACAAATGTACACGAATTTTAAATTTTACTTAGGGTAGCGGGGAAAGTTTATATATAATATATATATATATATATATATATATATATATATATATATATATATATATATTATATATATATATATATATATATATATATATATATATATATATATATATATATATATACTTAAAATTTAGAGTTCATGTTCAACTGCTCTCTTGTATTATTAGTCAAGAACGATTTTTACAGTGTAATAATAAATATAAGGTAATATTTTCATAGGTGAATATGTATACATGGAGAGGGTTTCGGGGGGTCAACGTGCCCGTGGCCCGGTGGTGGATCAGGGTCTGATCAACCAGGCTGTTAGGTCATGTGAGTCATTACAAAAAGTAAAACGACATTAATTACGAATTGTCACTAATAATGATTTCGTGCGTTTGTACCTTTTTAAATGTAATAATAAGTAAGTTTATTTAGGCACAGGTACACATAAGTACCATTATCATACATTGTGTAAATTACCCAGCATAACCCATAGAATAACCAAGGATGGACCCATAATAAAAAGGGGGCAGTAAAGCAATTGCAAAGAACTACAGACCGATAGCACTAACATCCCATATCATAAAAATCTTTGAGAGGGTTCTAAGAAGCAAGATCGCCACCCATCTAGATGCCAATCAATTACACAACCCAGGGCAACACGGGTTTAGAGCAGGTGGCTCCTTCCTGTCCCAGCTATTGGATCACCATGACATGGTCCTGGATGCTATAGAGGATAAACAAAATACAGATGTAGTATGCACAGACTTTGCGAAAACCTTCAACAAGTGCGACCATGGTGTAATAGCGCACAAAAAAAAAGAATAACAGAAAAAGTTGGTAGATGGATCTATAACTTCCTATCAAATAGAACACAAAGAGTAATAGTAAACAGAGTAAAGTCTGAGGCAGCTAGAGTGAAAAGCTCTGTTCCACAAGGCACAGTACTCACTACCATCCTATTCCTCATCCTCATATCTGACATAGAGATGTAAGCCATAGCTCTGTGTCTTCCTTTGGAGATAACACCCGAATTATCATGAAAGTGTCCTCCAGCGGAGACACTGCAAGACTCCAAGCGGACATCATACAAATCTTCAAATGGGCCACTCAAAACAGTATAAAGTTCAATGAAGAGAAATTTCAACTACTCAGATGTGGAAAACTTGAGGAAATTAAAACTGTATCAGGGTATACAACAAATTCTAACCATACAATAGACCGAAAAGTAATGTGAAGGACCTGGGATTGATAATGTCAGAGGATCTCACCTTCAAAGACCACAACAATGTATCTACCGTATCTGCTAGAAAAATGATAAGATGGATACTGAGAACCTTCAAAACTAGGGATGCAAAGCCCATGATGATTCTCTTCAAATCTCTTGTTTTCTCTAGGCTGGAATACTGCTGTATACTAACTGCCCCCTTTAATGTAGACGAAATTGCTGACATTGAGAGTATACAAAGGAATTTCAAGTCACACGAAAGTACGATAAAGCACCTAAATTACTGGGAACGGTTGAAGTCCCTTGATTTTTGTTCACTGGAACGCAGGCGAGAAAGATACATGATAATTTACACTTGGAAAATCCTAGGGGGAGTGATGCCAAACTTGTACACGAAAATCACTATGAAAGCAAAAGACTTGGCAGGAGATGCAACATTCCCCTAATGAAAAGCAGGGGCGCCACGAGTACACCGAGACAACACAATAAATGCCAAGGGCCCAAGACTGTTCAGCTGCCTATCAGCATACATAAGACGGATTACCAATAGACCCCTGGTTGTTTTCAAGAAGGCGCTGGACAGGCACCTAAAATCAGTATCTGACCAGCTGGGCTGTGGTTCCTACGTCAGTCTGCGTGCGGCCAGCAGTAAGAGCCTGACTGATCAGACCCTGATCCACAACGAGGCCTGGTCTCAGACCGGGCCGCGGGGACGTTGACCCCCTCCTCCCCGAAACCCTCTCCAGGTATACAGTTCATTCAGCCACATGAACGCTCTCTCACCTAGGTTATCTCCTCGTATAACAAAATTTGTACATGGTTTCTATGCAATTGGTTTTTTTTTTTTTTAAGTTTTAAGCCTGTCAACTGCACGAGGGTCACTGAGACTGCCTTTCACATGTACACCAATCAAGAATACTTTTCTCCCTCAAGTAATCTCGATGTATTTACTTTGTAAGATATATTCCTCTCTGTGTACCTAATTAGTTGGGGTATCTATGAAGTGAACGTTATGGGAGCTCAGGTTCACATAAAAGATTTATAAGTGATTCTAACTATGACCATAATTTTTAAAGGGGTGGACCGGTAAACCAGCGGAAGGCCTCGGTCAGACGACCAAAAGCTCCATTGCCGGGTCATCATTTGATTAAGACCCGCTACGCTCTTCTATGCGTTACTTATGTTGTGATAAAAGGTAGCACTGTTTCCCATCTAACAGGATGGATTTCATAGATGAGGTAGTGATATTTATCAGCCTGAGCCGGGAGATAGGGACGTCAGGCAATGCACTATTTTTTAATAACAAAATTCTGTACATCAGCAGTGTGCCTTTTTTCCAACTCTATATGACAGTTTCATAGTGGGAACAAAAGCTATCAAGCCAGAAGGATTTCTTACATCAAGTAATGAAATCTATCAGCTCGAGCTGGGAGACTCAGTAGGGTGATGAGGATACCGTTAAGCATTGCACCACTGCAGCAGCTACGAGAGCTTCGAAGGGTAAATTATAACTGTTAAGGGATGGACATGTAAGCCAGCGGAAGGCCTCGGTCAGATGACCATAAGCTCCAGTGGCAGGTCATCTTATGACTGAGACCCGCGTCATGAAACACTTGTCCTGTTTCCTGACGAATCTTACCTGATCTAACCCTCAAAGGCTTCGTTCCAGTAGAGCTAGAGTCGGACTCCAAATACCTGGTGTCAGACAAACCCCATCTGCTCCTCAACTCTCTGATATTGGCTGAATGAGCTGCCCAGTGCCTCTCCCACAATTCACTCACTCCTGTTTTGACACCTGATATAAAATACAAAATAGCCGTGTACTAATAATCTGCCCCCTCAACCCCTCAGCTGCTATTGAAGTTTTGCATGTGGCGTCTTGGTTTACTCCTATCTTGTCGGCCATTTTGGACGTGAAATTTCACTGAGAACCACGTAAACACACCGAGCATATATGTGAGACTTCCCTCACATTTCTAATGTGATGTATAATATTCCTACGTTATCATTTCCAGTGAGCAATTATGGTTTGTGAAGGCTAGCATCTCCAGTTTAATGACAATAGTTATAATAATTTACCCCTGATGTGCTAATAAATTTTATATTATTTTGAATTTTTTTTTAATAAAATACACAAAATACCTCCAATCTTGAGACAATCACCTAATAATTTTTGTTTAAATATGGTACAACACTTAAATAACTACATTATTACACTGGTTTATAATACAAATCTACACTGCAACGCTAATTTAAAACTTAGTAGAGCGCAGGTTTACATTGAGTGTTAAAAATAGCATACAAATAACCCCTAAATCGTGGTTTACCTGCAGGTGGAGCATCGATAGTTTTCGTGGACTGTCCACTACAGTTCGTGTGTGAGATGGAAACCTGGGCCAACCGAGACCACGACCGCTTCCTGGACAGACTTATTGCATCCTGGTTTAGGTGAGTGCCACACAGCCAAGTAGGAGTACCACAAAGAGAAGCTTTTGAGTGCAATTTCTAATTGGCAAAAGTCAATCGACTGCACGAGGGTCGTTAAAGCTGCATATAACCTCTAGTAGGTATTAAAATAAACTCTGAGCATGCAGACACATACACCTCAAGAAGTATGCAGAACAAGCTACATTGTGATGGAAATCTTTAGCTCTAAATGTTTCACACTCGTGCATCATCAGGAGCTATGCAATGCTGCAAGATAGCAAAAGATAGGAGGGGAAATTCTCTGAGGCAAGGCAGAAGGTATCAGTGATACCTTCTGCCTTGCCTCAGAGAATTTTTCCTCTTTGTTGCTGTCTTGCAACACTGCATAGCTCCTGACGACGCACGAGTGTGAAAGATCTAGAGGTAAAGATTTCCATCCCAATGTAGCTTGTTCTGCATTGCTAAGATCGCCTGTATATATATATGTCGTGCCGAATAGGCAGAACTTGCCATTTTGGCTTAAATAGCAACGCTCATCTTGCCATATAGGACAAGCGAAAATTTGTGTATGCAATAATTTCGCCAAAATCATTCTGAACCTAACGAAAAATATATATTTCACTGTGTTTGTTTAGTATTAAATTATTGTAAACAAATCTAAAATATATTTAGTTGGGTTGGGCTAAAATAAATTGCGTTTGTTATAATAAGGTTAAGTAAGTTTTCTAAGATTCTTTTGGTGCAAAATTATAAATTTTTACATTAACATCAATGAAAAATATATATCTTTAAACGTATAAGAGAAAATTTCAGAAAGGACGTAATTTTAAATGAGTTCTTGCTAAATGACCAGTTTTACATATTCGGCACGACATATATATATATATATATATATATATATATATATATATATTATATATATATATATATATATATATATATATATATATATATATATATATATAATATATATATATTATATATGTGTGTGTGTGTGTGTGTGTGTGGTACTCACGTATTTGTACTCACCTATTTGTGGTTGCAGGGGTCGAGTCTTAGCTCCTGGCCCCGCCTCTTCACCGGTTGCTACTGGCCCTCTCTCTCTCCCCGCTCCATGAGCTTATCAAACCTCGTCTTAAAACTGTGTATGGTTCCTGCCTCCACTACGTCATTTTCTAGGCTATTCCACTGCCTTACAACTCTATGACTGAAGAAATACTTCCTAATATCTCTCTGACTCATTTGTGTCTTCAACTTCCAATTGTGGCCTCTTGTTTCTGTGTCCCCTCCTGGAACATCCTGTCTTTGTCCACCTTGTCTATTCCACGCAGTATTTTATATGTCGTTATCATGTCTCCCCTGACCCTCCTGTCCTCCAGTGTCGTCAGGCCGATGTGTGTGTGTGTGTGTGTGTGTGTGTGTGTGTGTGTGTGTGTGTGTGTGTGTGTGTGTGTGTGTGTGTGTTGTGTGTGTGTGTGTGTGTGTGTGTGTAATGTATGTTATGTATGTATGTATGTATGTATGTATGTATGTATGTATGTAGATATATATTATATCCTGGCGATGGATAGGCTTTTGATGTGTATTGTTATTAATTGAGCGTCTGTTGTATCCAAGTTATTTTTTGGTAGAATGAGAGTAAGTGTAAGGGTGTAGTGCCAATAAAAGGGATGGTAAAGACAAGTGAGGGTATTGGTGTACACTGGCTGCTTAGTACTGAATACATCGATTCCAGGGCTGAGGGACTGATATACCCTCCAAACTGCCTCCTCTCCTTACCCCCTCTCTGTTTTGTAATGGACCTAAAGAAGCCACTGTGCGGCGAAAAACGTTCCCCTTAATGAAAGATTCCCTATGCTGCAAAAGTGTCTCAATCTTCAGAGACAGAAAGGAATGATCAATGGACTATAAAAAGAGGCGAACACAGAATAACCCAGCCACAAATATTACAAACCCGTAGTTCCATCTTAATATTATCGACAAATTCTGACTCTTTTCAATTTTTTTGTTTCAAAATCTTATTTTCCAGATTTTTTAGTTAATGTTATTTAACCACAAGGGAGATTAAAATCCGGCTGCGACAAGTCTGCAGTGAGGTGGTCCTGAAGAAAGGAAATATGGCAAAGAATATGACCTAACCATATAGAGCACACAGAGAACACAAAGTGACAGCTCAGTTAAACAGGCTAAACATTATAAGAGAAACCCAGGGGAAGGTTTTTCTAGAGGAAATTCAACATCTACAACGTTCTACCAGGGAAACTAAATCCACACATTACACGTACATTGAAGAGTGATGGAGAAGAAATTTCCCGAGACAAAACAATGACAACAATGCAAATCTCATGAAGAAGTTTGGTGATCGGAATCATCTGTTGAAGCAAATAACATGACACGCTGTAACCCAACAGTATCAACAAACCGTCACATCTATATAACCAGAGACTACGTTACTGCGCGAGCTCCATACATAGACCTGACTATTCTGATAAAGGTCTATCTATCGCATTTAGAACATTACCCTGCAGTAGATGAGAGTATATATCAAAGAAATAAAAATAAATTAATTACTAATCAAAACAAAGCTCTAAAACCCACAAGGCTCATATACTTGCACATAAAAATAAAAGCTCCATCCCTATCAGACCTAAAAGTTCTAAGAAAACTTCCATCCATTTGAACCGCGAAACCATTTCTGAGTGTACGTAACACTATTGTAGCAACAGGGTCTTTCCTTGTGTTGTCAAAACAACCTTCGTGATTGATATTCCTGCACAGTGAACTACAAGAATAATTGATGAATGCATATATTTCATTTTAGCAACTGTTCTTACCCTAGTATCTTAAATCAGCTGTAAAGAGTTATCCTATAAATAAACCGGGGGAACTAACATAAAAAAATATTAAAATTATTAATATATAATTAACTGGAGTATCCCACGTTTTATTCACCGAAAAGCGATTTGAATTTCAGAGTTCACAGATGTACACAACATGCAATAAACATCACTTTCCGCGGAGTGGAATGCATTCAAAAGGGAGAGACAGATTGCCCAAATAGCAACGAGAGATGTAAATAAAACATTTGAAAAGCTTATGGTACAAGGGGCTGACCTATAACTGTTCAAATATTCATGATCATAACTGGACCTTTCTGAGATTCATAAGTAACTTACTCCCCTTTACAGAAGAATTATTCCAAACTATAACCAAACATCTTAAATGGAGTCACACGGCTCATGTCTCAGCTCTGTACTTTTAATATGTATATCGATGACCTTCCACTCCGAATCCATGATGATAGTCATTACACTCTGTATGAATAACTGCACACACATGTGTGTCAAACTCTGCGGGTCGAAGCAGACGGAGATGTGCAAACTATTTTAGAAAACCAATGAAGAATTTCAATATAAAGCCAGATGGGAAAGATAGTGGTGAAAAAAACACCAATCCTGAGAAAATCGAATCGGTACAGCAGGATCTGTCTAGCTTAATTGAAAACGAAGGAGTAATGACCACCAGAGAAAGGCCTGTAAACGTAAATAGGTCGAAATCCTTGGATACGAAGTTGACAGGTTACTACACTCCAGTAAGCACTTAATGTATCTTGGAAAATTAAATTTTACCTGTTTGCATTCTCAATAGATTACTTTTACCAGTAAAATATTTAAACACAGATTATTATTATCAAGTACATAGAAAAGTAGAAATTTTGAGACACCTAGGTCGCAAAATGTCCCCTTCGATACCTATATGTCATATCACAAGTCACTTCTTTGCCTATTTACCTGGGCCTGGGTTTCCCTTCCAGGATTCTGGGAATTCTGGTAAATTAATATAAACGTGGACTGTAAAAATTAATAATGATTACATATACGATTATGTAACAGAGGAGATTTAAAATTTATAACCTCTCATTAGTCTGGAGATTACGGTGTGTATGTACGGGAGCCCCCCCTCTACCTAAATTTTGCTGATAATACTGGCCGAATTACAAACTAATTTAGATACTTATCTGGGTTCCTGGAGTGCCTGCCCTTTCTGCTTAATGCTCAAGTATGCGGACTGCAAAACCCAAAACAATTTCGGCTCCTTTTGAGAGTTTAGCCCATATACCCTAGAGCGACGAAAATTTAAAGACATTCATAGCGTGCCTGTATCACATCAAAAACAAGCGACCCCTCCCTGCTCCTCAGCGCAGCCGCAGAGCTTCCCTCTCGATTCTCTTTTTCATTTACAAATTAATTTTTTAAATACAATGTATTACATAATTTTCATAAAAAAAATACGCTGGTTTTTTGGGAAAAATAAAATTATTTTCCACAATATCAAACAAATATGGCCAAAAGCTAACTGGCCTAAACACACCGGTTGCGATCAGCCTCAGAACACATTGTCACACCTATATACAGTAAGATATTAATCGACACCGTATTAGCTAATTCTACGATGATAAATCTATAGCTCTGCAAAGAACGCAGATTAGTACTTTCAGATTCACAGCAAATTTCAGTCGCAGTGAAAGAAGGGATGGATTAGCTCCACAAAATACAACACTGAAACTGTGAAAAAAGACTCCCCCCTCTTAAGAAGAAGCAGCGCTATAAATGATAGAAATTTACAATCTGATAGAGGAAAAAGCTATAATTAAAAATAGATAACGTACTAACTATAGATCCAGGAAAATCTCGTAGAAATTTTACAATAACAATTCAACAAAAATGAAATAAGATTCATGTACAAACGAAAGTTTCCACCACTAAGAATTTTTTAGCAACTTACCACAAGATAAGGTTTGCAACCCCTCCCCCCCCCCGTATACGTGGCTCAAAGAATTAATAACTAACAACAACAAATAACAAAGAACAAAAGACCTAATCTGTTGAAGATGTCGACCCATACAGGTCTCAAATGACGCCACAAGTATAAAAGTGGAAACATTCAGACGACCATTTCAATATCTACATGTCATAACCTAAATTTCCAAATGTCGGAGCGTTCCGAAATTCACGTTTAAATAAAAGAAAAGATGAACTTCAGTAATTATCAAAAACCAACTGTCTGGCAAATTGTATATTTTATATAAAAATATATATATAATATATAAAAATATATTATAATTATATATATATATATATAATAATATATTTATATTTTTATATATAGTATATAAAATATTATATAAAAATATATATATAAATATAATATATATATATATATATATATATTTTATATATATATATATATAAATATATGTGTGTGGTGTGTTGTGTGTGTGTGTGTGTGTGTGTGTTGTGGTGTGTGTCACCTAATTGTGGTTTTCAGGGGTCGAGACTCAGCTCCTGGCCCCGCCCCTTCACTCATCGCTACTAGGTCCTCTCTCTGCTTCCTGAGCTTTGTGTGTGTGTGTGTGTATGGTTGCAGGGGTCGAGTCATAGCACCTGGCCCCTTTGCTGGTCACTCTCCATGACTTTATCATGCCTCTTTTTAGAGCTATATATGGCTCTTGCCTCCACTACATCATTTTTCCCAAACTATTCTACTTCCTGATAACTCCTGACTGAAGAAAAAACTTCCTAACATCCCCGTGACTCATCTGTGGCTCGTGTGTGTATGTGTGTATAAGTCTTTGTGTGTTTCAGTTGAGGGAGAGTGTTAATGTTTAAATTTTAAGCACATGAAATATTAAAAATTGTAAAAAAGTATCGGCTGATTTTTAACCTATACCCATACCGTAAAAATGGCCGATATCGATATACTCCCAGGCGCTGTAATATCTTTCAGGTGTTATGACTGGGCCTTTACTGCCACAGGTCAAGACTAGTTGTAATCTTGTGTGATCTCTCCCACAGGAGCCCCAACATCACTTGGAAACCGGCCCGAGGCTGCTACGTTCGCCGGCATGGGTATCTGCATGGAATGTACCCGTGTCCTTTCGATGTGCAGGAAGTGGTGGGCTTCAGGATCCCCGGTTCCAACTCTCTCACTAGTGCGCCCTCTAGTTGGACTGGAATTAGTTCAGACAGGAACCTTGGCTCTAGCCTGCCATCAGTGCTTGGAAGGAATATTACTGCTTCGGGTGACCTGGCCATCGTGGAAATAAGTCAAGGACCCCAGTGGAAATAAGTCACTGTCTGACTTTTGGGGGGAGCTATCCTAGGTAATTTACACTATGTACGATAATTGTATTTATGTGTAAGTGTGCCTAAATATACTTATTTATTAAGTTCTTGTACAGCAGTCTTCGAGCGCTGTGACAACGGACACTTCGTAGACAATGGCGGGGAATAATGACGCATTCTTACCTGAATCTCCACCAACTAAGGTGCCTTGCTTGACAGGGGTCTTATGACAAGCTGTAATAGGTTTTCGCAGCGCTGGCTTGTCTTGGGGAAGGTGTTGGAAAATATTTGTCTATAGTCTTAAATTGTGATCCATTCAGTAGTTAAGTGTTAAGTTTCACTGATTACACCACTGTCGTACCGGTGCTAGGTATGACTGATTATGTAATCACTAGGGCACAGGCACTTGGGTATCAGTGATTGAGCAACCACTTGCATGTCATTACCGGGACTCCCTTTCGAAACAAAGGACACTGCTGTATTTTATAATATCAGATGTAATGCCTACTGCAAGTGTCTTAAAAATAAAATTTACTCTATTCTAAAGTCACTCGTTTCTTTCGTGTATGTTAAATAAACAAGGTAAGTCAGGCCAGCTAATATATGTAGATATCATATACTTAAAGGGTCATATTATCCTGAGATGCGATGGATGTGGTTTACAAAACATTAATAAAGGAGTCACCATTAAATATTGACTCAAGCTTCGGCACCTGTTGTTTATGACCAACAGGAGACCAGACCACCATATAATTATTATTATTATAATCAAGGGGGAAGCGCTAAACCCGGAGAATTATACAGCGCCTAGGGGGGATGTGGAAGGCATTCAGGCTTAATTTGGGGAACTGGAGCACAGATCCAATTCCCTAAATCAAGAGTCCCTCACCAACATCAAGGAACCTTCCTTGAGGGACCACCATATATAAACATGTAAATAGTTCATTACCACTAACTTGTTTAGCTCTCAGAAGTTTGCGAACCAGTCCCTGGACCCATTATGTGCCTCTCTAATCTCTCTACTACCACCCACACCATGGGTATGGGCTGCATAATAAAGATAATAAAAATGAATTGAAACTTGAGCATTATAAAAACATCATCTAAATATAAACTTGCATGTTAATACTTTGGGAACAATCTCCCCGTAGCCTAGTGGTGTAAATTATTAAATATGGATTCTTAAAGTTCTGTAATATTACCTTGCTTGTCACCTACCTGTACATGGTTATACCGTGAGGTTGTGATTCTGCTGCCATAATGTCGAAATTACAGACAGTAGGAAGTTCTAACAGATTAGATTAGAACATCTTCAATGTACTAGGAAATAAGATCTAGAATCCAGGTCACAGCTGCTGGCATTACTCTGCTGCATCTCTATATGGGCATTTAGAATTAATAGGCTGTGTATGAATTACATATTTTTTAACTACAATTTAATATTTTTATTGTCTTCTTTAGTCGAAGCTAGAGATGACGGCAAACTTCATTTTATAAATATATATATATAA